GTTGACATCCGCGCCTTCATGGAGCGTGTGACATCGCTGGGTTCCTACCGAGAGTCGCTGCAGCAGTACCTTGTTGAAAAAATGATGCTCGTTGCGCCAAACTTGACGGAGCTGATGGGACAAAACATCGGTGCGAAGCTCATTTCAAAGGCGGGCTCACTGACAAACCTCGCCAAGGCGCCTGCCAGCACCATTCAGATCCTTGGCGCCGAGAAGGCACTTTTTCGCGCCCTCAAGAAACGTAAGGGCAACACACCGAAATACGGGCTTATCTTTCACTCGACATTTATTCAGCGCGCAGCGAAGGAGCACCGCGGGAAGATCTCACGCTATCTCGCCAACAAGGCCGCCCTTGCCTGCCGCATTGACTGCTTCATGGAAACTCCTCCGGCTGTCTTTGGTGAGAAGCTGCGGGAACAGGTGGAGGCGCGGTTGAACTTCTTCGACACGGGCAACAGGCCGCCAACAAACATGGTCGCCATGGCCGAGGCACTCGAGCAATACCAGAAAATCCTCCGCAAGCGCTCCAAGAGGCAACGCGAAGCCCAGGCCGCAGCAGGAGGCAATGGTGATGACGAGGTTAAGCAGGAAGTGCCAAAGAAGAAACGTGCACGCCGTGAGGAGGTGCAGTAAATACATACATATACATATTGTTTACTGTGTGTTTGTGTGTATTGGACGTAATAAAAAGCGTGAGGCAGTGGTGTGAAGAAGCAAAAAAAAAAAAAAAACGGGCCGAGGTGCATCGACTGTTGTCGCGGTGGATGGATGACGCACGCAGAGGCGCGAGGGGAGGAGAGGACGATGCGTTTTTATTTTCTCTCTGTGCATGTTGTTCGTGTCTTCTCCACTCGCACCGCGTGTCATTGACCTTCTGTTTGTGTTCACTGCACTGCCGTCACCCCGCACCGGGTACCTTTTGATAAAAGAAGAAGGGAAAAAAAAGAAGAAAAGAGAGGAAGAAAATCCGCCGACAGCTTCAGGCGAAGCAAAAAAAAAAAACAATCAAAAATAAAAGGCGTTGAAAAGGGGGAAAAAAAGAAAAAAGAAAAAAGAAATAAAGAAGAAGGTTGACGTGTCGTGCTTATAGCCCTAACAATATTGGCACCGGCAGCGAGGTGGGATGAATTGTTTACATGACGGATAAGGCGGGAAACGAGGACGGAGATGCGAAGGTCCGGCGAGTGCCGGCAGGCTCTTTTTGTTCTCCGACATGTCACATGTACGTTTGTGTGTGATGCCGTCGCCTCACCTGTCCATGTTTTACTCTGGACAAAATGAGTTCCTTTTCCTTTTTTTTTTCTTCTTCACTTTTTCTTTGCTTCTGTTTGTCTATTCCTCCCCGTCCTGAGGTGTTCTGCGAGGAATTCCGCTGTGCAGGCTGGAGACACACAAACACACACTCTGTGCATTTGTAATTTTATTATTGTTTTTTTTTTTGTAGAAATGTCGGCTTGTAGCCCGTCGCGGTTCAGTGAGGAGGACGCAGTGGTACTGGACCGCTGGATAGATGCTGTCTGCGGCGAAGAGATGCAATTTCCCGCTCACAGGCGGGGCCAGTTTGCCGCCTACAAGCAACGCCTGGAGGGGATTCGTGCAGCGGACGGTCATTCGCTCTTCCACCAGATGTCCCGCTCCGGTACGCGAGAAACGTTAGCCCTGCAGAACGCGCTGTCGGTTTTGAAGCAGTTGTGTAAGTGTGATATGGAGGAGACGGAAAAGGTTAGGAAGGAGATTCAGGCTGTGAAACGCACGTTACATGAGAGGTCAATGGCTGTAGAGGAAGAAAAAATGGACGGATCCCCCGCACCATCTCCAGAAGTAACATCGGGATTTAATCCTGTTCCCGCTGCAGAGAGCAGCCACGATGCATACGAAAGTTCTAGGAAAGTCGCGGAGCGTTACGTTGCAGAGATTGACCGTCAACGGGAGTCGAACCGCAAGAATGTGGAATTGTGCCATGGGCGGAAACTGAAGCTGCTTGATCAGCGCAACCGGTTGTTGGAGGAGGAAAATGCACTTCGTGAAGCGGAACAATCCGTCACATCTCAGTTTGATGAAGCGAGTGCGGCACTTGCTAGCAAACGTGACGCGTTGGCTCGGGAGCAGGCAGCGTGGAAGGAGCTGCAGCAGTCCAGCAGTTTTGCAGAGGCGCAAGGCGCGGGGAACATGAACGCTGCAAAGGACGAAGAGGAAGAAAAAAAAAAGAAGGAACACGTGTACGCCCTGGCGGGGGCACGCTCATTACTGAATGAGGCGAGCATCAAAATTGCACAAACGCAGGCAGAGCTGAGCTACCAGGATGGTTCCCATTCGGTGCGTTTTCGTCAGGCGCGTCAGCGACTAAAAGACTGGCAGGACATGGCGGAACAAATTCGCCGCATACACGACCAGCTGCAAGCACGGACACGCGTGATTAGCATGGTGGTCGAAGCCAACGCCGTGGCGCTGGAGGCGGAGAGCGGGCTTGGCCACTTGGAGCGGCTGCGGAAACTTAACCAACTTCTTCTTGAGAAGTCCGCCAAAATACTTGGCCTGCAGCCTGAAGGGAAGGAGGAAGGGGGAAAGGGAATCGTCAGCAGTGCGCCTGGCTGGGGTGAGGGGGTCTTGCGAGACCTGTTCACCAGTCGCCAAAGTGTGGCATCCTCCGTGTCCATGACGGACGCGGCGAGTTCCTTGTCAACCCCCCGGCGTCGCTCCTCCGTCTCGCAGACGACACCAACTGTTACCGTGACGGAAATCTCTTTTTCGCCTGGGGTCGGTGACGCAATGAGCCCCAATGCTCACCGGTCGCCTTTGGAAAAGGAGCGGCGGCACCGCCAGGCATATGCCCTTTTGACGGAATTGCAGCGATGGGAAATGGCGCTGGTAAAGGAGGCTGCAGCGCTTTACGGCATCTGTGAAAAGGGGATTAGTTCAGCGTCTGCAACAAACTCTTCGGAGTCACCGAACGCGACTCTACAGGAACTCCGCAGCATGCTGCTCGAAGCATAATATGTGGGGTGCTAAAAAGGAAGCAAATATTCAATATAGAAATAATTTTTTAGTGTATAATTACATATGCACATGCGTACTTACATATCTGGTTATTTATTTTGTATCCATTCTTTTAATGGTATGGAGGAAGAGGAAATAAGCGTATTCTCTTGTTTTTGTTTTTGTTTTGGATTCCTTGTTTGTTTGTGTGTGTGTGTGTGTGTACATGTGTTTGAGGTTCCGTGTGTGTGTTTTCTATTGCTGATTCGCTGGACATCTTTCTGGCGGTGTTGCCTGGCCATCCCGCCTTCAATGGTGTCAACACCGCCGGCTGGTATCGCTCCTTGCCAACAAAACCGCGTCCTTCGGGGCGTATCTTGTGTGAGAGCGGACATGACGGGCAGTGCGCACACCTGAGACACCGCACACACAAACACAAACACAAACACCTCTCATCGGCGCTGATTTCTCCTCACCAAATGGTGTTGCCACCGCATGTTGGACGCGGTTCCGCATGACGGCACTGTTGCTGCGCGAGATGAGGAGGTGGGGAAGAAAAAAAAAGACCTTCCCCGGCATTGCGAGGGCTGCATGAAATGACCGGAGGCGTGGAACGCCTTTACAAAAAGGGCAGATTGGTGATTTCTGTATGAATGCCGCAGTCCTTTTTGCCTGACTGGCTGGGGCTGGTGTTTTTTTTTTGTCTGTGCGCATTGTCATTATCGTGTTTTCTTTCATATATATATATATATTAAGGAGGAGGGAGGGGAGAGGGAGGGAGTCGTTTGTTCGCAGAGAGTTGTGACTGGAAGGAAAATTCAGTTGTGGGATAAACGCAGCGATTTGCCCCCTTTTTTTTGATTGCCGCCTGCTTTTTTTTGAGTAACACGAAAACACTGCACACACACACACACACACAAATGCACGCGTCCCTTTTCTCTTATTTGATGATAATGCCAGTTTTACGCACACGCAAACACTTCTCTGTGGCTGTGCGCGTGTGGCTTCATTTTTGTTTATTATTATTATTACTATTTTAGGTGCCGCGTGTGGCTTCCAACACGTCTCAGCGCGGCGGTTGCACGCATGATTGTTTGGTCACGTCGCGTTTCCACGAGCGTTTTATTCTGCGGTGTCTTTAACGGCCCCTTTTCTGCCACGTTTGTGACGCCTTCTCGCTGGAAAGGGGACTACGGCTTTAATGTTTTCCATAACTCCAACCCGCAGCATGGCGGGTCGTACGCCCGTCATGAGCGACGCATGCGAGAAGATGAGGTGGCAGACTTCTTGAGGAGCGTGAAGGGGTGGGTGCCGGCGGACGAGGCGGTGACGGCCTCCCCCGCTGTGGAGGGGAGCAGCGAGGCGGCGGAGGAGGAGAAGGGACCGGCGCCGATGACTGTTTTCACCGGGGAGGAGGCAATAAAACGGGAGTTTGTGTTCCCCACGTTTCACGACGCGTATCTTTTCATGGGCCGCGTCTGGGCCTTCTGCTACGGCAGCGACAAGTACCCGCACGTCACGTGGGATGGAACGCACATCACGGTGTACCTCTACTCCCCGTCGTTTCGCGGAATCAGCAAGCGCGAGGCCCGCCTGGCAGCCTTTCTGAATGACCAGTACAACATGTTTAGAAAAAGCAAGCGGCAGCAGGAGCAGCTGCTGAGCGTTGCGGTCAAACAGACACGGATGGAGGAGTTGATGGGAGATGTTGTGGCAGAAAAGTTGAAGCAACGCGAGGAGGAACGGCGGAGGCCATTGGCAGAACTCACGGAAAGCCGTGCAATCAAATGGGAATCGCTTCTTGATGAAAACAGTAGCGGGAAGAAGGAGACGAAGTGATGATATCTGCGGCGCCTCAAATGCATAGATGCTTCTCTGACCTTCATAGCAAATGTAATATTTATTTAGTTATTCATGCATGCATGTGTTTGTGCAGCAGTTTTCTGCACGTGTTGGGCTTTTCTTTTCTTTTTTCTTTTTTCCCACTTTTGTTTTAGTTTTATCATTTGCCCCACGGGAATTTCAGTCACGCGTGCGCATCAATGCCGACGTTTCGGGAGATTGTGACGGCAAAAAATTTTGTTTTTTTGCTTAAATTCTTGGGGGTGGCAGGGGCTTTTGGTAGTGGAAGTTTGGCACTTTTTTTATTGATGTGGTTTCGTCCACATGAATTAAATGAAGTGCGCATGTTTATTGCATACGTGTACATCATCTTCTTTTCAGTGATATCGCCGGCCGCGGAGGTTGGCATGATGCAGCACCGTCACCTGATGCGGTTTACACGTTTCCTCCTATCGAACATTGGACGTGCCTTTCTTTACGTTTTCATTGGAGGGCTACTGCTTGGAACACACATTGCCGGATGGATCGTCGGTGTGTACATGATTTCTTTGGGTGTCCTCAACATTTTTGCATACTGCGTGACAGGTGAGGACTCTACGGTGTAGGGAAGAGAGATGAGAAGGGAACGAGGATGGCGGTTTACATACACACAGAGAGAGAGAGAGAAACACGCATATATATATATATGCGTGACTGCTGCTTTATATGGAGGACCCAACAATTCAAGAAGAAGATGTTTGTGTGGGAAGGGCACGGGGGGGGGAAAGAAGGAGCAAACATTTCCCTCAAGAAAACCTTCAAAAGGATGTAATTACTGTGCATAATCTCTTTTTATTATTATTATTATTATTATTATTATTACGCTTTTCCCCTTCGCTCTCTCTCTCTCTCTCTCTCTCTCTTTACAATGTGCGCATGCCTAACGTATACATGCCGTTGTAATGCATGTCTCTCTTTGGTGAGGAAAAAGAACTTGAAAATAGATTTGATGTACTCCCAAAGGCATGTCGTTTTTCTTGGCTCACCTTCACTACCGCCGTTGGCTTTACTTGCACTGATTCAATTCACCGTATTTGTGCAGGCGGGCTATCTCGACTGTAACTGTAACCACGGTTTGGTGACTCAAGAAACACCGCAATGTGTGTGTAGCTGCTTTGGCGAATACCTCCCTCCCCATTGCCTCTACACCCCAACGGACACTGCGGACATGCAGATATGGCTTAGCCAAAGCAGTAGGCCTTCTTTTGATGGCAACAACAACAACGCGAGCGCGAACTTGTCGCTCTTTGCTGCAGACATCATATCCGGGCTGAGTTTGGGCCTTCAACGAAACCCGGGCGACGGGACGCTGCGATTTGTGCGTGCGAAGGCCGCCGTCATTTCAATTCCCGACCCAACCCTCGAGACGTCGTGCACGGTGACGGCAGTGGTGGCGATGCCCGGTTGGATGGCACGGCAGCTCCTTGCCGATGTCAAGCATGGCACCACCACCGGCTACGTCTTCCGGAACTGTTTTACCGGGGCGATGTACACACTGACGGCAGCCTTTGATGACACGACGGGCCCGGCGTTGCCGCAGCGCTACACCGACAGCAGCATGGCCTTTTTCTGGCGTGTCAAAAGCTCCTGGTACGTCTCCTTTTCTACTCTCGTCTGGCCCCTGTGCGCCCTCATCGTCGCGGTGCTGCTGCCATTAGTGGAGAGCCACCGCATCTTCAACACAGCGTTTAACGCGACGTACGTTTCTGTGCGTCCCCCGGGTGCGACGGCTGCAGCGGCGGACGCGAGGCGTAGAGAGTATACCGGCAACAACGACAACAGGGATGGCGGCATACTGCCCACTCGCGGTAAAAATAAGGAGCAGCAGGCGATCAAGATGCATGGGAAGATGTCAAATTTGGTGCCCGACGGCAGGGACCCCGCAGCATCACTGCAACAGTACGAAAAGCATCGAAAGAGAGAGATCCCACAACAAAATAACACCGTTGGGGGACCTTCGAATGCATGTGGGTTGACGAATCCACTCAACCCGCAATATAAAAGAGACGGCGGTGACGGAAGCGACGCGTGAGCCAAGTGAAGCTGCAAGCCAGCCGGGAGGAAGGAGGGGAGGTGTGTGTGTGTGTGTGTTTTCCTTTTTTTTTTTTTGAAGAAAATTACAGTGTTTATATTTTGTTTATTTTGCACCGTGTTTTTATTATTATTATTATTATTTCCTTTTGAGGGGAGCGGTAGAGGAGGAATGAAGATAACTGCATGCATGTGACCATGCGCGGTGTGTTTCTACGTATGTGTCCATTTGTTGGGGTGAACTCCCACGTACGCCCGCCATGGCCGTTGTTTCCGTCACGCCGCCTGTTCCCGAAGTGAAGGACAACGGAGGGGCAGGAGAATTGTGAGCGGCTCGGCCCCGTGTAAATATATATATATATGTGTGTATGTCTTTTTATTATTTATTTATTTATTTATTTTTGGCTGTGGTTTTCTTATCTTTATTTGTTTGGGCCGTCATTGTTTCTTTTTTTTTTTTTTTTTGTGTGTGTGTGTGCGTGTTTTGTTTTGCCTTGTTTTGATTGCCGTCTGTAATCCACTTCCCTGTCCTCCAATATGTCGACTGTCGTCTCATTACGGGCATGATGTATTTATTTTTTTTTTTTTTTGGTGGGGGGGAGGATTGGTTCCATTTTAAACCCCCCGGCAGCGCTGAGAGGACACAAAGGCTTCTATACGCACACACATACACACGCTGTGGGTAGACTTTATAGACGGAAGGAGACATGCCCACGGCGCGTTCGAAGCGTCAGCGCACGCCGTCCGCCACCTCCTCTCCGCTGCTGACGCATGCGCTGGAGGCACGTAGCCGCCGTATTGCCAGCACACCCGCGAGCGTCATGCCGCACGGGGAGGAAGAGCTGCTCCTGCCGCCCCCCACCAGCAAGCTGTGCGCTCATGGTAGCGCCCACCAAGGCACCGATGACAGTAAGGCTCGTGATGAAAAAAACATTGATGTTAATAATACTAGTAATGCACATTTTGGTGCTTCTAGTGCTAATAGTAATGGCTCCATGATCACTGCCGCTGTTGCGGAGCAATTCTCGGCTGTGGAGATTTATTTTCAGCTTGTAGGTCAACGAAATCAAGGCGATTTTCTCTTTCCGCGCGACGTTGGGGACTTGTTGCTGTGGTCCGTGCCGGCTGCGGTGCCGTTGATTGAGGGCCCGCGGGTATTTTTCCTCAAGAACAAATCGAGGCTGCGGGATGTGGTGATGATTTGTGTGAATGGGTGGACACATGATGAAATGATACTTGCCTATGCCAGCAATCCCGCCGAAGATGATGGCATCCATGAGAAGGAGGCGAAGCATTCGCCGAGGGGACAGCCGTTGCGCCACGAAGCAGAAGAAATGAAGGCCCAGAATGGAAATATTTGGGCGGAGCGCATTGGTCGTGCCATGCTGGCCCCAGTACGCGCTCAGCAGTGTTGGGCACGAAAGGAGTGCGGCGTGCAATTTGCGCCCATGCTTCTTCCAGGCGCAAGGAGTTCACTGGTGCGTGAGATATTCTGGCGAAACGATGCACCGAAAGCACCTCGCGATGGCCAACGCCGCGGTTGCCCCTCCTTGAATAAAAAAAATGCCGAGCAAAAATGTGAAAAATCGGGTGATCGTTGTGTGGCGGTTGTCGGCCAATTACCCTCCGGCACCTCAGAAGCAGCA